TGCCTGCCTCACAAGCGCAAGGACCCAAGTTCGATCCCCAGTACCAAAAAAATAAAAATAAAAAAGGTTTTAGATCTATGTGGTTTCATACAGTAAGTACCTGCCACGCACAGCACTGACTCATTGAAATGTGGTAGTGTGACCAAGAAACTGGAATTTTACTCCTACTTACTTTAAAGTAATTTAATTAACTTAACAATCCAAATGTACTATTTCATGTATCAGTATTCATGTTCACATGAGCTTACTTCTCTAGTAAATCAAATTATATTTTATGTACCCTATCCATAAGCCTGGGTGTAGTCCTCCAATTATACTTAGATGTTTGCCATCATGTAACTTTAACCTATGTTTTGGGAAATCAGATATTATCAATAAACCTATCCTATACGGTATGAAGAAATGATTAATTGTAAGGCCTAAGTTTCTGGGCCACCTGGATTTAAACCAGTTACTGCTGGCTTGCTGTGTAAGTGGTATGTTTCTTAACATCTCTAGATATCACTGTTCTTACTCATCAAAATAAAGACAATAATACACAAGATTGTTTTGTAGCTTAAATGAACTGAGTGCTTACCAAGTGCCTGACATGTGGTGAGCACTCAGACAAATATGAACCATTGTTATTTTCATTTGATGGTATAAGCAACATAAAGATGAACAGGTAGAGAAAGTTCCATCTACTGGATCCTGGATGTAAGTCAACCTGGGTTCTGCTTATAACAATGAAGCTTCATCCATGAAAGTGATTATAGAAGGTCTTTCATTTAAAATAAATGCTACTTACATAGCAGTTCATTATTGTTATTTTCTATCATTTCAAGTTCTCCAAGCAGTGCTGAGAATATATGAGAAAATGACAGTATGGTTTGCTTGGAGGATAGAACTTTGAGTTGGTAAAGAAACCAGAAAGGAGCTGGGCGTGGTGGCGCACACCTGTAATCCCAGCACTTGGAAGGCTGAGGCAGGAGGATCGCCTTGAGTTCGAGACCAGCCTGGGCTACATAGTGAGTTCCAGGTTAGTCTCAACTATACAGTGAGACCCTGTCTCAAAAAACCAAACCAAAAAAAAAAAGAAAGAAAGAAAGAAAGAAAGGAAACCAGTAAGTAAAAATATTACATGACCAGAGTTAAGCCTTTTTCACTACATGCTTATAAAACCTCTCCAGAGTTTGATATTTTATTGGGTTTCTATTTATTTATTTATTTATTTAGTTAGTTAGTTAGTTAGTTAGTTAGTTAGTTTGTAACGTGGACAGAAAAGCAGTTTTTCCTTCATGAGAGGGTCAAAATGTTCTATCTTATAAAAATGTTTATAATCTTGATTTTCTACTACTGCATTTTTTTAAATTGTCATATATAGTCTTACTAAATCATTAAGTTGCCCAGACTAGGTTGAAACTTGGAATACGCCTGCCTTAGCTTCCCAGAATGTTAGGGTTACAGGCATGCACCACTCTGACCAATTAATATTTTCAGTAATCCAGTGTGGCATTCCTTCTTTGTTAATATGCCTCTAAATATATTGATTGAGAAACATAATAGTGACTAGGTACTAGCAGTTTCTTATCTTAATGTACTGTTTCTATATTTAATGTAAAATACCAAAGTGAAATATAAATCCTCAAAATTTATCTTCAAGCCCTGAGAGTTTTTAACATAAATTCAGTACTCTCTTAGAGGAGTTTAGTAATTAAATCCTAGGTACATGGCAATAGTTTTTAACACAATCCAGGAATTGTGAGTGTCTTAAATATTATCTTCTATGTATCTATCCATCTGAAAACAGTTAATGAGAGAATGGTTTCTCAGAAACAGAGAGTTACCGTGGAAGGATGACAGGTTTCTTTCAAAAAACAGAGAAAATAAATTTTAAAAAGCATCATGTCCTTGCTCATAAAAGCCATTTGTTCATTAATGTGAGTTCTGGCGAAGACCAAATCCTGTTGAAGTATATGTTTGGAACTTGTGTTGATGTTCTCCTGGGGCAGAGTTTAACCACAGCAAAAGATTACATCTTGCATTCCAATATGCATTCATTAAAATGCAATTCTTAAAATGGTAGTAAGAGTGGAATGTTTCATCCAGATCTTTCCAGTTGCTCATGATTTTGCGTCCCTAAAAACATAACTTAAATTATTCTGGTAAAAATAAAATGAAAGAACACGAAAGACTCTCAGTTAACTCATAGACTTCTGATGAATACCTGTAAAAGTGAGAAAACTAGATTTCCCAGAAATAATCCCAGCAAACCCCTTCATATCCAGATTGGTCATGTGTTACTTCATGCAGTTGTCATGGAAATGATTCTTGTTTGTTAAATAAATGAAATAAATAATTACAGAATAATCTGACAATGTAAACTTTACATGTATAAATAAATAATTTCCTTTCAAATACCAAATGCCCATCCTCTGTGTCTTGTATCTCGCTTTTTGTTTTCTCTAACTATTTAGACTCATGGTTTCTGCTGAGGATTTTACCAAAAACTCTCTGACTACTTAGTGTGTATAAAATATTACGAAAACAGGTACAGTAAGCCAGAAGGCCCGTATGCATGAGAAGAAAAGAGAGGTGATCATGGTAATGATCATGGTAAACTGAGATAAGACAATTACAGACTAAAGTTCTAAATGTCAAAGTATTTTTCAATATGATATATGATAATAAATCTAATTTAATGGATGTGCACCCTATCATAGAAAGTGGAGTTATAGAAAATTATATAGAGTATCCAAAATCAAAAAGTTGATTAAAAATAAAATGACCTCATACTTTTATTTGTTCTCTATTTAACCAAGATTAAAAATTGGAACCTTCACTAACATTTTATTTCTCCTTAATGTTTTCAAGCCAGTTCTTCTGAGCCAGCTCTGTAATTGACTATATTAATCTTCTAATTCAATAACAGTTTGTCATTCCCTTCCCTGACATTATTCGAGCTCACCCTGTAATCATCACTTGCCTGGAAAACAGCAGATTGAGACATTAAATAGTTGTCAACCACCCTTAAGTCTGCATTCTTTAATATGGTGTTATAGTTTCCATCTTACTATCCCCCAGAAGTCTCAGAGGCAGAACCTAGCTGGAAGAGGTGGGCCATTGAAAGTGTGAATTAGCAGGGTGTATTCCTGTCCTCAGTTTCTCCTTTCTGTATCTGTTTCTTGGCTTCCATGGAATAAGTAGCTTTCCTGTCCCATGCCCTTCCACTATGAGGTTTCTGCTTTGGAACCAGTCTACCAATGAATGTACCCACAGAAACTGTGAGCCGAATTAAACCTCTCTTCCCTTAACTTGCAGGTGTAAAGTATTTTGTTCCTGTGACTAATACATGCAGCTTATGTGTTTCATGAATTGTTACCAATAGCTGTTTATTCTGCTAATATTTCATTCTGAAATAGTCTGTTGACCTCTTATCCTGTCAAAACTCAAGCATCATCTTTCATTCTGAAAGGAAACTTTTCCTAACCCAGTCTCCTAATTGTCCACATTCATTTTAAAGCCACTGCCTCCTATTGCAAAAATTTCTGTCTCAGCACCTGTGCCATTTTCTTGTATCCAAAGTGACTATTTGTAAGTCTATCTCCTGTAAAAACAGACTACTTTTTGCTAAGGACCTCAAGCTATTATTATTTTTAAATTAGCATAAAGTAAGCATAATGAATGTTTACAGAGTAAAAGAATGAGTAAGCAAATAAGAACAGAGGAATGAATGAATCAATAAATGAATAGCACAAAACCTCCAGGTTAATGTTTTTTAGTCCCTACAATTAAGTGTGCCACAGGAAGTAACACTAATGATTATTGGAAACAACAATAGTGCAAAGGTGTATGTAAACCAGGATATATTCACTAAAATATAAAAGCCAAAAACGTCCATCAGGACAATGATAATAGGAGACAGTGTAACAATATTTTTTTCTGATAGTGAAAGTTAAGATAGATCTCTGTTTTATTATCCCCACTTCTTAAGAGGTGCATTAGGCCCACTTTTTATGAGCTTGATTTTGCATCCATGAGATTAGTCAAAATAGATGTCATCCTTCAAGCTTTATAAATGGGAACCATCTGACTTACACATGTTTAACCAAAACCTATGAAGAAGGTTTGAGACTATGTTGTTAACTCCTGGGATAAATTAATAAACTCTTCCTTCGCAGAATCACTTACTCAAACATTCCAGTTTTTTTAATGTTTTTGTTGTTATCTCCATAACTATGCTTAAAAATGTTTTCAAAGGCAAAGAAAAAACACTTTTGTGAGCAAACACATTTGTACTTCAAAGTTATGATTATCATTGTGACTCACTGTGGGATTTGAACAAGTATGGATGCTAGAATAAGAATCAATTTTTCAATATCCATGACTTGACTATTGAGGATTCTACTGTCCTAGTCCACCATTCTCTTCAGAGAGATGATGTGGGTTTTACCACATTTAAAAATGATTCCTGTACAGGATCTCAGTAATGAATGGAACTGTATTGCAGACCTAGATTGTACCAATAAACTCAATAAAAAAGAAAAAAAAATGATTCCTGGTCTTTGGTACGTGGAGGTAGCACCAAAAAAAAAAAAAAAAAAAAAAAAAAAAAAAAAAAAAGAGGAAAGGCTACTGAAAAATAGGTCTGGCTAATGAAATGTCATGTCTGTTTCTCTTTGGTTTGAAAGCAGCTATGGTAGCCTTCAGAAAAAGAAATGAACTCAGAATGTCCTACCAAGATTTGCCAACTCCACAACTAACAACTCCAAAATTAATAATGATATTCCTATACTTTAAAAAAGACAATGCCCTGTTAAATGAGAGTCCACTCTGTTTTGAAATCTTACCTAAGGATGAAGAGATATATACTCGCTCATATCAAAAGAGAGAATTGAAAGTTGGAATGTCTCTTGATTTCCATGATAATATTTCCACATTAATTTCCTTCAAAAATACCATGACCATATTCACAATGGATCATAAAATTACGATGCGCTCAAAGAGACAATGAAACAAACCTCTCAGAATGCCCTTTGCCACGATGGGCAGTGATGTCAGTCCCTTCAGCCATGTAATGTCTTCCCAGCTAATAGATGGGTCTATTGCCTTTGCCACATATTCAGCAAGTCCACTGTTGTCGCCAAAATTTTCCTTAGGAGAAAATGCTAGATCGTTGCTTTCAAAATTTTTCATCCTGAAATGACGAGATACATATAATGAGAAAATTTCTCAAGTCAGATAGATAGATCAGTTCTATGACTGATTTAATGAATAACATAGAAGTAGCTCTTCTCAAATCAACCGACTCATCACTCAATGATATAAAGGTATGTTGGGTGGATATTTTCCCTATTTTCATGCAGGACTGTAGGCTAAATGTGGCAATCCACTGGTCTTAATTGGTCATCTAAAGTTTATTTTACACGTGTGTGTTTGTACAAACACATCAGTTTTGAGAAGAAATACATGGCCCTGTTCAGACATTTGCTGTTTAAATAGAGACAATAGACTGCGTACGATTTCCACCCAGTTGTAGAAGTTAGTTATAATTAAAAACGTTTGTAATTTCCACAAGGCTTTTTTTATTTCTTCACAGTTGTAAAGGCTTTGAGAAAGTAAAATTGATTCTCCTTGATTTTATATTTTACAAAGAAAATTAAAATGGAAATGTGGATTGAGATGGCCCAAGAATAAAAGTAGCTAGTGGCAGCAGTTGGATGCCAACCTGGGTCTCTTGATTTGGCTCCTTATTATATTGTCTTTGCTTATGCTGCATCTGGGGGATGAGCACTGCTGCTCTGTTGTCTGAGCAGCCCACTGAGATTAATACTATTTGTCTTTGACCTTTATTTTGAGGTGCTAATGGGCAAGAAGGTGTCTTACTCATGGTTAGCTTGCAGTTAGTAAGGGAGCATGTGGACATCTACTGTACTCTATGATGACCCTAGAGTGAATAATGCAGTGAGTCTAGAGTGAACACACACACATATGTTAGTGCATAGGTGTGAGTACACCCTGCCTTAAAGTTAGCCCCCACCCACTTGGAGAAAGTTTATCATTTGTGCATATGTCTTTCTCCCTGTATTCTGCCTGTCAGCTCTTTTTCTGGGCTCTTGGTCCAAGTTCCAAGGCCATTTGGTACATTTTTTATCTGTATTTTTTTCCCTTTTCCTAATTTGTCTTTGACTTACTTTCCAGAGGAATCTCTCTAATAAAGTTTATTTTTAACTTCTAGTTAGAACTAGCTAGGAGACCTAAGGAGACCTCTTATTTTCTCATCTATAGACACTGCCCTTATACTTAGATCAATTGAATCCTGGCTATTACACAGGAAAACTTCCAATGCTCACCCAGAAGAGGTAGGACCTGCACTACAATGTGCCATCTTCCCCTGTCTGCTGTCCCTGTGGACTCTCTTACCTTCCCTGTGTGACGGTGGTGGTGGGCACAGAGATTAGAAAATGTCTCAGAAGACGAACTGTCAGTCTTGCCTTCTAGCCTCCATTTAGCTGTTCTCTCTGAGACTGGCTACCTATTGATTCAGTCTTTCCTGACTTTCCAGATAACTTTGACAAGATCATGAGCTTTCCAGTTATCAACATCTTCATTTATTTGCCTTATCCCCCACCTTTGGTTTGCTCCTGGGCCTAGAGTGACCCCTCAAGCAGCACATTGCGAGAGTCAGTGATGCAAAGATATAAATATACCAGCTCTCCATCCCCAGGTAAACTAACTGTGAGATGTAGCCTAGGTTGATTCACAGAATTTTCCAGCAGGATGAAGCTATAGTTGCTCACAGTTGTGGCCCTTTGTCTACTGCCTTCCCTCCCCTCCCCTACTTCCCCACTCCTCTAACAATATTCCCTTCACCTTCTCAGAGAACTACTTGCCCTTAACCACTGACTCACAGTCTGCTTCTTGGAAACCCAAACTGTGACACATCACCTCTGAGGTGCTGCCTCTGTCACTTTGTTGACCTGGTTTGGCTCAGGCTTTGTCTAGCTCACCTCTGAGATTCTGCTGCTGGCTCACCCTAAGCCTGAGGTCCTCTCATTGGGCTAACATCCTCATAGACTGATTAGTTTTGTGAAATGCCTCAAGGGAAGGGCCAAGTCTTTTCTGCCCACGGGTCTGCCCACTAGGTGGATGGACTGCCATCTGGATACACAAGGGACCACCTCTGTGACCTGGCTCCCCCACAGCCCCAAATCTGGTTGCCAACTTCATTCTCTAAAAGACAGCTTTTAATCGATGACAGTGACCTGGATTCCTCCTTGCTTTCTCCATTTCTAAATTACCCCCAAAACAATCTGCTTCTTAAGTAAAAGTAAAGCTGTACATTGATCTTTGGCTTAGTCCTAGCTCTTTATTCCCTACCACTAGCTGTGCCACTGAGAGCTACTGTAAAAACTTTTATATAGAACTGCTAGTGTCTTGACACATTATCTTTAAATTATTTCTTAAACAATCTTTTAATAGAAGACTATGTTTGATGTCCTTTTATTTTAGTGTATTTTGGCTAAATTAACTAGTTGTATAGCCTGAGTGGCACTTATTATCAAAAGAATATGAACATTCACTCACATGTAACTCAATTCCAGCCACTATCAAAATTTTTTCCATGAGGACTGAATAATTTGTCATAAAATTTCATGGACTCAGATAACTATTAAATATCATTGAAAATTCCAGTTTCCTTAGGGTCATACAGATTCCCATCTAGTTGTTGAGATTTGATGTGGACTTTAGCTGAAATGCCTGGACATTTTTTTTATCAAAGCACTTACAGATGTACATTTTATCAGAGTCCTTGGTACACTGTGGTCACCTTATCTTGAATTAAATTAAGCTTTCAGGTTAATAAACACATCTTCTCTATGGAGACCTATTTCATTTCTCTGAAATGATATTCAATTCCCAATTTTTAAATAACATTAATGAGAAAAAAATCCAATTTGTCTGTCCCATAGTAATGCCTGGAGTAAGAAGGAAAAACATCTAACTGTGTATATACTCCACATAGCACCCACCCCCATCCCAAACAAGCTGCCGAGTTTCAGCAGGGGTGGGGTGAAAGGGTGAAATGGGTAGGAAAAAACAGAAACATGGATAAAATTATATAAATAACTGTTGTTATTCTTGGATGGTGAAATGCAGATCAACACTTGAATGAATGTTGCCTTACAGAAATTTCAGGGCACAATGAAGCCTTGTTGTTACTCTAAAACTTTGTTCAAAGCCAGAAGCCAAGGAAAAGTTTTCAGATATCTTGACAGAGACCCACGATGGAGTGTTTTACCAATGGCTCCGCAAGAAACCGCCATGAATGCCATTTTTATTCAGAATACATATATAAATGAAGGTATTCCATTTCAAAAGGGAGAAAAGGGATGACAAGAAAATAATATCCTGATATGTAGGTCTTAGTTTTTCCCAATCCTGCTCTGTTTAATGACACAAAGGCAAAAGACAGGATTTCACCTTTGTGAGGTACTCATTATATCTTCAGTAGCCCTTAATAACACACTTTTTAATCTAATATAGGAATTGCTCTAGTTTTTTTGGTAAATTAGCATCGTAGCAGTAGTAAAAAAAAAAAAAATTAAAGTAAATAACATTAAATAACCAGTAACACAAATAATAATGTTACTGAGCAATACAAAATACTTGTATTACTTATTATAAATACTAGTATCATGACATTAAAGGCAAAGCCACATTTCTATACCTAGAAAACAAATAAACAAGCAAACAAACAAAAAATAGTAGAGCTCACAATATGATCAAAATATGAAGAGAAAGACAGTTTGAGAGAAAAGTTCATAACTTGTAAAGGATGGGTACATGGCCCACCAGCCTTTCATGCTGTGGTTAGGAAAACACTCATGTTCAGAACTCAGCCCTGACGATTCCGTCCTCAACATGGCCAGGCAGTTGGCAGACAAGCACAAGACATACATTTTGAGTTCAACATCTTCCTAGTTATAATACATTGGGGAAATCTCCCATGCTCTAGAGCAATTTTAATTTCTGATCCAACAATCACTTATTGAGTACCTACTAGGTGCCAATGTTTTAGATATTTAGGATACACCAGTAAATAAGACAAGCAAAAGTCCTACCCATGATAAACTTAATCAATATATAAATTACAGAGCATGTTGAAATATAAGTAATATGCAAAACAGAGAAAAAAGTGGGGCAGAATAATGAGCTGGCAGAGACTCAAGTTGAAATTTTTAAATGTGGCAATCAGCATTGACCTCATTGAGAAGCTACTTTGAGAAGAAAGGAGAGTGATACATATTTATTTTTTGATTGCTGCTGTAACAAATGGCTAAAAATAGGCTTAAAACATCTGAAAGTCAAAAGCCTAAGACAGGTCTTCCTGGACTAAATCCAAGGTGTTGTCGGGGCATCATTTGTTTTGCAGGTGGGAGGGGAGGGTCCAGCCCTTTATGTTGTCCAGCTTTCCTGATCACCTGCTTCCCCCACTCCACTGCGGGCTACATGCCTCCAACTTCTGATTTTATCCTGTCCTCTGCTATTTTGACTCTGAAACTCATGCCTCCTTCTTGTAAAGATCTATATGTGTGTTTCAAGGACAGACCAAGTGGAGATTACCCAATGCCTGAACTCTTGCTGCTCCCAGATGCCAACAGTGGGGACCCTCCCCCTACCCAGGCAGAGGAATTAGCAAGGGCTGGAGGGAGCCACTGCTTTACCGACTCATTCTCCTCTGGATTTCCTGCCTCTGTCGCCTGCCAAACCTCACTTTTGAAAAGCCAGGCTTCACCTTTTATGAGTCAGGTCAGTTGCAGACAGAAATTGATTTCATATCAGGCTGTGACAGATGAGCTTTTGGGGCGTATGTGACCTCCAGCGGAAGCCTGGACATCCCATTAATGGGCTCTGCCTTCAGGAGCTGAATGTGGGCCACTGAGGAGCTGACAGAGGCAGTGGCCTTCCCTGAAGTCCTTTAGGACAAACAGCACCAGTGCACGTGGCAGGGGGCCCGGTGCACCAAGTGCAGGGTGTTTCCCATGTTCCCCATAACCTGGATGTGTTGCTCATTATTTGATCATCTTTAGACTGGACATGTGCCAGGCCGGGGAGCCATGGCCGCTCCTGCGCACACAGCAGCTGAAAGGGGTCTTTGTTTCTTGGTCCTTTACGTCATCTGGGTAGAAGCCCAGAAGCAGAGGAAAGGGAGAAAGCAAATCGGCCTTCCCAGTCCTCAGTCCTCAGCGAATGGCCCCGGCACTGAAGGAGGGAGAGCACCAGCCAGGAGCAACGGCTTTCATCTCACACATCTAATTAGGCACCTCTGCAAAACAAGCTCTGCTGCCCAAGCAAGCTTCTGAAGCTGCAAACAACAAACAAAAACAAACAAACAAAACGACAAACAAAAAACCCTGCCATATCATGTATTATTGCTGTGTTTAGTGGGGGAAGTAGACAAATGAAGGCAGATTCTTTATCTAATGGCCAGAGGGAAATAATGAGGAATGGTTTCCTGTCAGAAGCCAAGATAGTGGGAAACAAACAAACAAACAGAAAAGGATCAGTCAGTCAAAATGCAGAGATTACATAAGGACAGACTACACATTAAGGAAATGTAAAGTCATCTGCTTACTGATTAATTTGGCAAGGTATAGGATCATGTCGGGGGCTTTCCTTTTTTTTAATATCCTTTAAAGACAGGTGTTTGGGTGACCCTGCATCTGGGATACATAGAGCAGTTTATTGCCATCTCTGACATTGGCTCGCTGTTGGTATTACATACAGAAATAAAATCCTAACCCTGTATGCAAGGATCAGTAGTGCATGGCTAATTTACATATGGCTCAAGAGCAAGATTCTATGCATAACCATTCGTACTCACATGTGTGTATACGGAAGTAAATGGCAATTATGTGGCTCCTGTGCAAGACTTTCTATGGCTATGACTCACATGGTGAGTGAGTTACGCCCCACTCTGACAATAATAATAGAAAAATCCCTACATTCCAACAATTTTTTTCCTTATATGAAATACTGGCTTGATTTTTGAATCTTTTAGCTTTGGACTCTTTTAAAAGGCTGAGCAAAGTAGATTTACAGATGAATTCCTTTGTCTCCCTGCTTTATCTCTACAATCGTCTTAGTCCTCTTTGTTCTGTACAACTAAAATGGAAACAGAGTGAGCAAGGCCCCTGTGGAATGAGGGCGGGGCTCCCAGGGAGGCCCCTCTCATTCTCTCACCTACTCTGATGGCTGCTGGGGAATTCATCCCGGAGGAGTCCTCCACTAAGAGTTTGATGTGTACTATGACAGTTACAACCCTCAGGACGACCACACATCAGTCACACACTGGCCTGAGAAATCCAAAAGATGATTATGGTGAGAAATAACCATGGCTAAAAGAGGTAAATAGGTTAGGGAAGTTGGACTCTTTCTCGGTAAGCTCCATCGAGTTGATTCTAACCCATAAGTACTGCAAGGAAAAGGACAATTCAAAGTTAGTGGAAAGACAGAGTCATCATCTGATAAGATGCTTGCAGTTCAATTTTAGATTATTTGATACAGTGATTTGCTAGAATGAATGAGAAAATGAATAAAACCATAATCCCTGAATCATGATCTGTGGATAACTACATGAAAGAAGAATACTGTCAAAAGAAGTGGAAAATGAAGGATCAAAACTGTGGCTCCTGAACCAGGTATGGTGACACACACCTATAATCCCAGCACTCGGGAGTCTGAGGCAGGAGGATTGCTGTGAGTTCAAGACCAGCCTGGGCTACATAGTGAGTTCATGACCAGCCTGAACTACATATAGTGAGAGCTTGTCTCAATCCCCTCCCTCCAAAAAGAAAAAAAGCGTTTCTTCTTTTACCTCTGCTCTTTTCTCTTTCTTTAACCTTTCTAGTCATTGTTGTTCCTAATAGAATTAATAGAATGTCCAGGTGTCTCTCTGATTTCATAGACCAAAGAAAGGGTATCAGAATAGCAATAACAAGCTGTCCCCCAGGCTAACCTACATAGCATCCATCTGTATGGCATTTCATGCTTCCAGAAGCCCTAATACATTATGGTTTATAAATGTACTAGACTTTCACAAACACACAATAATTCCTTTCTCTGATTTGTAGGTCAAATATGTGATACCCACATTACAGAGGTGTTACTTTCTGGTGATCTTGTAGCTATTTAGCAATGATACTCTTTTCAACCACACTTTGAGACTAATGTTTCTGCAGCAAACTAATTTCCCAAGGGCACCCACTTAGGAACTAGAGACAGTCTTTGGCTTGTGAAAGACCAAAGAGAAGCAGCAGTCCAGGTCAGGGTCTGCGCGATCGTGGTTACCTGAGCTGTGGTGGCAGCTTGAACCTGTTACGCACATCATCAAAGCGGTTGCCCAGGTAAGGGGTGTCTACCGTCACAAATATGGCCTTGTAGCCCATCTTCTCAGCTCGCTTCACTAGCTGCTTGGTGACCTCGCGGTCCTTGTAGATGTATAGCTGCATCCAGCGAAGGGCGTCAGGAGAAACCTCTGCAACCTCTTCAATGGAGGAGGTGGCCCAGGAGCTCAGCATCATGCCGGTTCCCACAATCTGACAAGCTGAGAAAAGAAAGGAAACCATCAAGACGGGTCAGACACACCTCTCCATCCTAAGCTTCCCAGTTGTAATTCAAGGGCTAAAGAGCTCAGCAGGGCCAATTTAGCAATATGAAGTCAAATCTTTAAGAAGTTGGAAATATGCATTCCTTTTCACACTGTGGTATGTCTTGTTCCTGAAGAAGAATAAGTGAATGTCCTAAGAGGTGTTCTATATAAGAGTAGAAACACTGAGAACAACCTAGATGTTCAGCCTTAGGGGGCTGATTAAACTGTAGTTCACATATTAAATGAAATGCATACAACTATGAAAAATAGGATTTCGATGTTTAATTTTATACATCAGCTCAGCCAAGCATGATGTCCAGATATTTAGACAACATACCTGAATATTACTGTGAAGATATTTCTAGAGAAAATGTGCATTTAAATTAGTAGACTTTGAGTAATGTAGATGGGCCTAATCTATTCAATTGAAGGCCATCCCCCAAAAAAATATAACAGAACAAAACAAAACACTTCCTCCAAGCAAGAGGAATAGGGACTTCTGTCAGCAAACTGCACTGGGACTTGAACTGCAACATGAGCTTTTCACCAGCATTGCAGCTACAGGCTTCAGGCTTCCCAACTTCCATACTTATATTAGTCAGCTCTTCGCTGGTCTGACCAAGTGCCTCAGGAAAGCAACTTACAGGAAGGAAGATTTATTTTGGCTCAGTTTCAAGGTTTGAGTCCAGGATTGACCAACGCTATTGCTTTTCATCCTGTGGCGATGCGGAAACATCACAGTGGAAGGATCCGTAGAGGAAAGGTGCTCATGAGGTCATGGCAGCCAGGAAGCAGAGGGAAACAGAAAGAACCAGCGAAGGGTGACCAGGAAGATGACAGAGTACCTAAGGTCACAGCCCCATGACCCACTCCCTTCAACTAGGCCCCCCTCCTAAGTTTCCATTGTGTTCCAACAATGCCATCAAATTATTATCTCATTCGTGGATTATTCCAGGGATGAAGTTAGAGCCCACATGGTCCGTGCACCTTCCAAAAGCCCCATTTATAAATCACGAAACTTTGGAAGAACATTTTAGATGGAAAACACATAGTCATGGGAGCCAGTTCTTCAAATAAATTTCTATCGATAGAACAAGGTAGGTATAGATGGATATTGACATTGATTATGTGTCTATCTATATGGCTAGCAGGAGATCTTATTGGTTCTGCTTCTCTGGAAAACCTTGCCTATTACAATTATAAAGGAATATCTGCAGATATTCTAATAGGTTAAGATATATAGATATGTTAAGAAAAAGGTTTATAAAACATGTATAACAAAATTCCACATTTCTACAAATTATAATTGTTGATTTATGAACCTAAATAAACTGTGTATGATGGGCAGAAGAACTACGATTCTGTTTTATTTTCTTTTTCTTTTTAATGTTTTAAATTGCATTATTACAGGTTTTTCTCTGAGAGCTGTGATAGGCATGGCGGTGCACACCTGTATTCCTAGAGCTCTGGGGGGGCTAAAGCAGGGAAGTTGCAAGTTCAACCCCAGCCTGGGAAACGTAGTGACTTAGTAAGACCCTGTTTGTTTCAAAATAATAAATTTTAAAAAGGGCTGGGGATATAGTTCAGTGTGAAGGTCCTGGTTCGATTCCCAGTGGCAAAAACAAGCCCCCAAATTTTTTTCACTCGCACGTACTCTACCATTCATAGTAACTTTTAAATTTTTCTAAAATGTTTATGATGGATGTCTTAAATAGAGTCACAGCCTTTTAAGCAACGTAGCAAGAAACAAAGAAATAAATAAAAATTAATGTCATCTAACCAATATCATAAAAGACTTCAAAGAACATGAGGAATCATTTTTCCTCCAAAATTAAGTAGTAAACTGAAGTCAGCTTAGTGAAGAAGAAACCAATGCAAGTTTGCATGCTATACGAAGAATGTTGAGATATAAATTCTAAGTATTTAAAACTGCAACTCAGTTTTATCTGAGTGCCCACTATGCTTCAAAAGAGAGTAAATGTAGATGACATTTATGTGACACTCACGTGACAATGCTGAGAACAAAGTAAATCTTTTTATAAAGCCACACTGAGAAGTTAGAAACCTTCTGTGCTTCTCAAATTTTGTCACCAGCCAGTTCCCCTAGAGTACTTACAAAAACAGGTTTCTGGGTCCCACCACAGCTCCTGACTCCATAGGCACAAGATGGGGCCCAAGAATCCTCCCTTCTAACCAGTTCTCAGACAATGTCGATGCTGCCCGTGCTGGCTCACACTTTAACTTTTGCCAGTTAGCTAACAGTAAAAGTCTAGGTTCAAACAGCAATAAAATAATAGCCTTTGTTTTTGAAAAATATTTCCTTTGCCTTGTCTTTGAAGCGCTTACATCATGTTTTCAGGTCACTGGCCGTATACAAAGATCATCATGAGCTGAAGATCATCATGTATGTGGGTCACTAATTTTTTCCCTCTCGGGTATCGCTTTGAAAATTTATATCATAGGATCTCATGACTTTCAAAATACTGTCCCCCCAAAAAGCATATTTTCCTTAGTAATAACACATATGAACATCTGGATCATTGTCTTGTTTTCATTAACATTTGGAAATATAGAAATAACACCCGAGGACACTGATTGCTTGTGTCAGAATCTTCTAACCATCAATTTCCCATAATGAAATCATGTCCTGGAGAGGATGTGACCTAAGTAAGGCCATGAAGAGTTGGGTACAAAGTGGAACAAAGCACCACATGTTTGACTTCTCCTTCAGGGCAATGATCTTTCTAGAATTCCCAGATGTCCAAAAGACTGATATAAAGCCACAGATAAAAGTAATTCCTTAATATTTCAAGACCATGACATTCAAAAGAGTAGGTTTGTCATATGCCCAAGGGAGGCTACCATATCTCAGCTCTGGAATGGTATGGAATCTTGTCATCCAGTGGGAATGCCTGCCACATTCTGACCACACACACAGAGGCCCAGAAAGGATGACCTCTCAGATGTCAGAGCATCATTCTACAATTAGTACAGAAGTATCACATAGGCTTAGCAGCACCTCTGCCACTAAAAACATCAAAATCTGCAGAAAGACTTCTGTAGCTTCATAAAAGTATCTACAGACCTTCCACACAGACTATGAAAATAACAGCAGATGAGGCACAAATAATGCTTACACCAAACAAAACATCTCACATTCAGGAGGTATCAGCTTTCACAAGAATTTTACCCAAACCAAGTAGGTGTGGATGTCCAGAGAAGGGAGGAGAGCCCATGCCATCTATTTCTTATGGCCATCTATTCTGATACAACAGGTATCAGAAAACTTTGCTGCCCCATGTTTGATTTTCTACAATTGAATCCTAAGGGGCTAAAATTTGGAGTCAGAGTCCCCAAAATTCTAAGCTACCATTGTTTCCAGGTGTAGGCACTCTATAACTATTAGTGATTTCATGGATTTATTCCAAGAGCATATCCTGGATGCAGAGAGAATATCTGACCCTATCCTGACATATTATCTGTTTGGCTAAATCATTACTCTCAAAAGGAAACAGAAGAGAAAGCTCTAGAAGGCTTCATGCTTCATGGAGCAAACTGTTACTAATTGCAGTGATTTCTTCTCACTTTTGATTGTCTTCTATAACAAAGGGAAGTTATTGATAAAGTGTATCCACTTTTTCCACAGTTTTGTATTAGAATGAGTTAAAGGAGGCTGGAATTTTGCCATTCGAGGAGACAATTAAAAAGTTGCCTCATCAACTTAAGGTAAATTTCAGCTTAGGTTGATGATGAATCTTGACTGTCAACTTGACTGCGTTAGGAGATGGTGAGCAGATTAGTAAAGCACAAGTTGGATGTGTCTGTGGAGGTGGCTCCAAAGATAATTGGCATGAAAGGCCGGAAAAGGCAGTGCTGCCATCCTACAGGCTTGCAGCCTAAAGAGAATTCGAGAAGGGATGGAACAGGGAGTCAACCTTAATGTGAACAGCTCCATTTTTCTTTTCGCTACTGTGAGAGCCTGTGAACATCAGACTGTAGCTTCTTCAACCTTTCAATGTGGACTCAGCGTAGAGACTCCAGAGAGCTTCCTAGCCTTGAACTGGTGCTAAAACCTTGATCCTTCTTGTAAACCTTCCAGCATTTTGGACTGAGCAACTACTGGGTCCTCTCACTCTCTGAGGTACACTGTGGACTATCCAGTCTCTGATCTTGTAAATATTTTTAATAAATGCCCTTGCATAATTATATATTTTTCTATCAACTATGTTTCTCTAACAACTTCTAATGAATTCTAACAAATGCAAGTTCATACATAATCAATTTTACTTGTTAAAATAACTATGGTTCTGGGGTAAACATGCCTCATCCCCTGATTGCTTCAATACCCTATCAATCCCTTCCCTCCCCGAGAAATCCTTGGACCTTTCCACAACTCGGCAACTCACACATGTGTGCTGGCAGATCTGGGAGCAACCAATGCCACTAAAGGTCTAAAGACCTAGAGCTAGAGTTCTAGTCAGTGAGCATCACCTCTAACTGGTGAAAGTCCTTGGCTAAGTATTAAGTATTTCAAACATCACCTTTGCTTAAGACAGAAATCTTTCTAATTCATGTTGCTCTTAGGGGGTACAAGTTGTAACTTTAAAGTTGTATTAACATTTCCATCATCAGACTTTGTTTGAAACTTCCAATTAGAACTATCCTAGCCTGGTGCTTGACAGCACGTATATGTTCAGTCCTTTTAGTCTTGCTTTTTATTCTGCATATCTCTCTGCATATATAAAATTATGGCCTCTTCCTCTTAAAAGCAAGAACAGTCAGATGTCATTGGAGAAAGGGTAGGTGTCAGCTTACATTTCTATTGCCAACTTTTGGCTACTTCTCACACTGTAACAGAAGATTCCAATTGTACTGCATTTTCACAGCACCTGGCAAGTGGAGATCACAGCTAAGATGCTATTACTATGAAGGCGAGACCTTGCTCTTACCCAAAA